TTTTCATGAAGGCAAGGGGATGTTGTAGTTAACTTAGGCACAGGAGGAATACTTCCTTTTATTTAGCTTTTCCATTACCTCCTCATTCTCCTCTTTCTTCTTCTTCCTCCCAGCATGAGTTCATTGTCAGATCATATGGGCTTCTAAGTATGTTGGCTTGGGCTAAGCCTCATAAACATATATCAAAAATTTTGAACCTAGGTTGGAAACTGAATAGTTTTGCTAATTCAGAAGATAAAATAAACCACCTCAGAATGTCAGTTTTCTATCAGGCTAGGTGACACAGGTCATTTGCCTGTATTGCCCAAACCAATGACCTGTAACAACTTATGGCTTTTTTTTTTTTTTTAAGGAATCATAGTTTTTTTTTTTTTTTTTTTTTTTTTTTATGAGTGTTATGCCTGCATGTATGTAAGTGTACCTGTGTCGTGCAATGCCTGCAGAGGTAAGAGGGCGTCAGATCCCCTGAAACAGGAATTACGGATGGTTGCTAGCTGTCATGTGGGTGCTGGGATTTGAACCAAGAGCAGCCAGTGATCTTACCCACTGAGCCATCTCTCCAGCCCCAACTTGTAACCTTTTGAAAAGGCCCCTGCTGGTGCACACCTTTAAACTTAATACTTAGAGGCAGAGGCAGGTGGATCCCTGTGAGTTCAAGGCCAACCTGGTCTACATAACGGATTCCAAGCCAGCTGTGGCTACAGAGACACTCTGTCTCAAAGTTACAAAAAAAAAAAAAAAAAAACCCTTCTGCTTTTGCAATCATCACACTTATCTTTTTTCATCATACCAATTCATAGAAACATATCTTCTATATAACCATCATACAAAATATGTCAGAGCTATGACTTTAAGATATTAAATAATCATAATGCTCTATCTGAAAGACAAGCGCAATACCATTGAAAATAAAATGGTTACCCAGCTCTACCTCCACAAAATGTGTGACCATGTGACTTAACCAGCTTTGTTTGTGTTTGAGATCCCTGAGATTAAAATGCCCTCAGTAGATGGTGATTAATAAAGACATAGTAACAATGAACTTCGCTGATAGCATTTTTCACTAAATAAAGAAAAAATAGACAAAACACTGCAAATAAAAGTAAAACAAATATCAGGCCAAGAACAAGCAACCTAAAAGGCAAGATATGCCCATGATAGAAAGTTTAAACCAAGAAAGCATTGCCTATATCAAATGTGCATATATAACACAGCATTTATAATTATACAGTCAATTACTTAAATGGTATGCCTCTGAAAGATGCATAAAATGTAATAAATGAAAGTTCCCATATTATAAAAAGTCTTAAGTTCAGACAGGCATGGTGGTACATACCTTTATTACCAGCACTTGTGAGGCAGAAGTAGGGAGATCTCTGTGAGTTCAAGGGTAGCATAGTCTACACAGTAAGTTCCAGGTTAGCTGGGGCTACAAGGAGACACTGTCTCAAAAAAAAAAAATCTTAAATTCATAAATTAATTTTTGGTGCATTGAACTGAGTCTCATGCCCAAAGGAAGGGATGCTCCACTTCTGTATACACAGATTTCTAAATGGACCAGGAAGAGAAAAAATAAATTAATTAATGTTGCTATTAAAATCATCTGACCTTCCTCAGTGCTGAAGATGTAGCTCAGTTGGTAGAGTGCCACTTGCCTAGCATGCACAAATCCCTGAGTTAGAGCTGACCACCACATAAAACCGATTGTAGTGACACCCCTCCCCTCCCCCACATACCAAGTTCAAAGCCAGATTGGAATACATGAGATACACCTCCCATACCATTTACCCTGCAGACTCAGGGTGGCAGCCCTATTTGTCCTCTTTGCAGGAATAATGAACGACCAGGAACAATGAAGCCTGCCTGGACCTTCATTCAGATGGAAAAGAGACTATTTCTTCAGAATATCTAGGAAAGATGGCCCTTCATTGTCTTCTAGTCTCCCCAGCTAGGAAGATCCACAGAAGAACTGAGAGAGAGAGAGAGAGAAAAAAAAAAACTCCCCATAGGCAATCTCCTGAAAGGGAAAAGCACGAATATGCAAGAGGGAAAAAGAAAGGAAAGCGTGTGGGGTGGAGAGAAAGGTCTTTTGGAAGGTGAAAGAAAGCATTACCACCTTAGTGGACACTCCAGGACCAGCCCCAGGGGTCAAACTCCGCGAGCTTGAAAGTTTGCCGGCTGTACGCTGTTCCTGAACGACGCTGGGTGGCGCTCGTGGTAAAGACTTGCACTTCTCTAGGGTCTCACTCGCCGCCACAACACATATCCTTGGCTACTCAAAGACAAAATTATATGCTCCCTACATGTCTCACTAGGGATCGCGTTGCTGGAGGATTTTGATGCTGTGGGGTTGTTTCTTCACGGTTGGGTCTGTTGGGATTTGAGAGGCGACGGAGTCCCGGCGCTGGCCTTAGAACAAAACTCCAGGTCTTAGTGTCAGAACCATCTGCACAGTGGGAACAAAAGTTGCGGACCCCCACTGCGAATAAACCCGCCCCGAGTGTGGGTCCCAAATTCCAACCTGGCTCACAGCCGGAACCGCAGCGCAGACTATAATGAGTACGTTTGTGAAAATGAAACGGGACTGTGTATACTGTGAACAGACTCCAGGCTGCCTGTAGCGCCCCCTCTCTTGGCTGCATTTAAGGAAAAGTTGTAAGGGAGTACCTCAACCCAGAAAAACAATCACGAAAGTTGAAGCCCGTGACTTTTAGAGAGACACCCAGATTTGGTGGTTTCGCCAAGAAGCAGACTTGATACAAGCAATTCACAGCTGCATAAAGGCCTATGCTGTAATCCTTCAGGTTATTTGTAAAGATGTAACTTTGTAACCTTGCCTTCAATCAAACCTGCAGCTTCCCGACCCCTTATCATTGGAAGCCGTCTTTTCAGCAAAGTTGGAAGGGCACTTTCAGAAGTGTCTTGGTGATGATGGCTCTCCCTTGCTATACCTAAATAGCTATTAAACGAAATGCAGGGTCGGAGGACCAACGGAGGGATTACCTATCTTCCTAAGCCATTTGCCTTAGGCTCTTTAAGTAGTCTCCGGCATGGATTTGGGGGAGAAATACTGGTAGTTATGCAGGGTGTGTGTAAGATGACTCTATGGCAGTGTCTCTATAACAGGCCAAGATTGCAGCCCAGTAGGGTCAGCAGTGTCTCTGATGCCTTGAAGATCTTCACAGCCTAAATCTAGAGCTTGAACATACCCACGAAAATCCACTCCTTGGAATCAGGGCGATTGGACAGTGGGCGTTTGCTGACCCACACTGCTGTGTCAGAAGGGAAATCTAGGGCCACAAGACTGGAAGAGAAGACTCCAGCAGGAGGAGCGGGGTGACCCAGCGGAAGCCCAGCTTCCTTGAACTCAGAACCGTCGTTTCCCGCCAAGAAAAAGGACAGTAGCTGTGGTTTCATGGGGTCCACAAGTGCAATAGCTAGGAGCTGATGCAGTGGTGCTGCCTTTTGGAGCCCTGGGTTCCAGAGAGGGGCTCACATCCTGTTTCTAGCTTCAGAGACTTTCTGAAAGCTGATTTGGGGCCCTGGTAGTTCTGACCCCAGAATAAGGCTAAAGTAACACTAGAAAAACTAAGGCAGATGCTTACTTCTTCCAATGAGGGAAGAGGGTAAGGGGTCAGTAGATCCCACCCTGACTACCCAGTGGAACTCCCAGGTTCTGGCTCTCAGACCTCCAAAGAGAGCTGTAGGGAGGCCCAAAACAGGATGCAACCTCATGGCTTTCTATATTTGAAGGAAGTGGAAATGGGGAGTGAGTGAAACTTAGGATACATTTCTAAGTCCCCACTGAATCACAACTAAAGTGAAAGCACATGATTAAAAAGTAATCTTTGGACTGAGTGTGCCAAATGTATGATTCTTGGAGCCCTTTGAATATAAACTGAGATGTTTACTAGACAGGAATAAAGGAGAGATGGTACAGGAACACAGCCTGAAGAATGGAGAGGCTGGGTGGGTTTCTGTTGCCAAATAATGGAACCATGATGGAGTGCATCTGTGGGCAAGATCCAGCTTCCTAAAAGGACTTTGCTCCCTACTTTCTGGTTTTCCAGATTTCATTTGGTCTGGAGGTACCCTAGTTCATAATCTATTTACTTTTGCAGGAATCTATTTACTTTTGCAGGAATCTACTGAACTGGGTTACATTCCAAAGGCTTCTAAGTAGGTAAGAATATTGAACAGAAGTAGGGCTGTCCTGCTCTTCTGGAAAGCAAGCAGGGAGAATTCAGCCATCATCAAGTTTTTCAAGAATAAGACAGTGCATTCTTGAGCATCTCTATGGAGTCCTGGGAGGTACTCCTCTCCTGCACATGAATCTGTTTCCCAAACTGCAAATTTTCAATACAAGTAAGTTACAACTTGCTTCCCGACATTCCACTAAAACAATAGTTTTCCATTTCTTCTCATCTTCATCTTACACTCTTCCCTCTTGATACCCATTTCAATATCAGTGCTCAATTGTCCCGCTCCTTTGGTGGATCATAAAGGGACAGGAGGGTGCTGGGCAAGAACAGACCATCATCCAGTATTTTTGAGATGGCTGATGGAAATACACTGTCTTCAAGTAGCTCAGAGCTGGGTCTTGGGGCTCCTGCGTTGTCCCTGTTACTCACTAAACACAGATTGACTGAGACTCCCACCCCTCAACAGACAATAACACACATAGGAGAGTGCCTGTGTACACACACACACACACACACACACACACACACACACCATCATCCAGTATTTTTGAGATGGCTGATGGAAATACACTGTCTTCAAGTAGCTCAGAGCTGGGTCTTGGGGCTCCTGCGTTGTCCCTGTTACTCACTAAACACAGATTGACTGAGACTCCCACCCCTCAACAGACAATAACACACATAGGAGAGTGCCTGTGTACACACACACACACACACACACACACACACACACACTCCCCACACCTTCCTTTCCCCCCCCCTTTCTCTTTTTTTAAGCAATGCTTTGTTGTGCTAAAACTAGTTGGACGAGTTAGGGTGTTGCTCCTGCTCCTGAGGCCCTGGCCAATGGAACCCGATCCACCCCGCTGTGCGTAAGCGCGCAATTAAGGATTTAACCAAGGCTGTGCTGCGCCTCAGCCAGCAGTCAGCCTGCGGGAGACAGAGCCTCCACGACTCCCAGCCTCCTCCTCGCCGCCGCCGCCTCCTCCTCTTCCTCCTCCTCCTTGGCTCCCACAGCCATGTCTGCTTAGACCAGAGCAGCCCCACAGCCAACTCCAGCAGCAGTCGTCGCCACAGCAGCAGGACAGCAGCCGGCCTGCGAGCGATGACAGGAGTGTTTGACAGAAGAGTTCCTAGCATCCGATCCGGTGACTTCCAAGCTCCGTTCCAGACGTCTGCAGCCATGCACCATCCGTCTCAGGAATCGCCAACTTTGCCGGAGTCGTCGGCCACGGATTCCGACTACTACACTCCCACCGGGGGAGCCCCGCACGGCTACTGCTCGCCTACCTCGGCTTCCTACGGCAAAGCGCTCAACCCCTACCAGTATCAGTACCACGGAGTGAACGGCTCTGCCCCGAGCTACCCTGCCAAAGCTTACGCCGACTACAGCTACGCCAGCCCCTACCACCAGTACGGCGGCGCCTACAACCGGGTCGCGAGCGCCACCAGCCCTCCAGGTACGCGGCGGGAGGCAGATGCAGAGGGGATCGGACACGGAGGGGGTCGCCTCTGCGACGTGGGTTGGGGAGGGGGGCCACGTCGTCCGCAGCAATAGAAGGCACACCTCGCTGAAGGGAGTAGGGGCCCAAACTGCACATAAGAGGCTTCTCATACCAGGTATTTGGAGATTCTCAGTGGAGGAACCCTGCCGAGGTTTAGTCTGGAGTCTCTTCCCTCCGGCACCCCTCGGGGTCCCTCCTTCGCTGGATTCCCAGCTTGCCTGGCCTGAAAGCCTGCTTGACCGTGGGGGGCGGCGGGGGAGGAAGGGGCAGGAGTGGAGAAAAGAATCCAGCAGCCCCAGTGGCCTTTGTGTAATAAAAGGAAAGTTAGTTGGAATTTGGGGTGCTGGGTTGCTGAGAGCCAGGGTGAAAGGCTAACTCAAAGACTGAAGTGAGATCAAGCCTGAGAAGCGCCACGAGGCCGCTCAGTCTCGGTGCCTGCAGCTCGCGGTGTGGCATGGGGGGCTGGGGAGTTGCAGCCGGCCAGAGAAGAGCGAGCCGAGGCTTTGCGGTTTATTCAAGGCATTTCCAAATACAAAAAGCCATTTAAAGTAGAGGGGGGTTGCTGAGAGTTCACGTCGTTAGAGGGATTTTTTTTTCTCACTCTCTCCATAGGTGCCTAAAATGTGTCTGCCTCCTCCTTCCTCACCTCCTCCTTTTTCGTCCACCTTGGAACTTCCTGAGAAAGTTATAGAGGGTTAGTGAGCTTGGGCGATAAATGAGAGGCATGAGGTCTCCTTGGAGAGGTTTTACTGGTCTAGTTTGATCTCTGCTCACTAGCACATTAATAAGCAAGCCTGCTAATATTAGTATCTCCTACTCCAGCAGAAAGGAGACCACAACCCTCATTCTCTACTCTTCCTCTCCCAGAGCTACACACATACACACACACACACACACACACACACACACACACACACACACACAAACACACACACACGCTCTCCACCCATCCCAGATACTTTGGGGGAAATGGGACACGTGGCTGCAGGGCATGGTGTAAAACACCAGTTCTGAGAGCTCCTCATCCCACCCCCAGCTGTCTGCATTTCCAACAGTGAGAATTCATCACGACCAGCCTCCCCTTTGCTGCGAAAATGCCCTACTACTGATTCCTTTTTGGTGTATCTCTGTCTCTGTATTCGTGCATAGGGCAAGATTTTTTTTTTTTTTTTGGATCAAGGACATATTAAGTCTATTTGTAAAAGAAACCAGACACATCTGTGAGCTCGCAGATCTGCAGTGAGATTACGGGTGCTGCATAATCGACTCTCTGTCTGCCAGCGGTCCCGACCGCTTGCGGCTGAAGTGAAGGAACATAGTTTGCTTGTCGGTCTTTGAACTTTGGAGACCTTGACTAGAGTCTTCCCTGCCCAAGCGTCTGGCATCTGCAGGCGCCCGAACAGACGCGGACAGAAGCGGGGTCATGGCCCAGCGCCTCCTCGCTTGCTGCTCTGGAAAAGGATTGGCCATTCACGCCCCAGAAACGCAAGGGAACGTTCGTAGAGTGGGTGGAAGAAAAGAAAAAAGTGGGGGGAGAAATAAGTATCGCTGAAGGGTTCCTTCCTTGACGCCAAGAAGCAGCTGCTGTGTACGACGTACCTTGCACAAATCCACCTCAATGAACACAGTAGTAATTAATCAGAGACTCGGCTTTTCTATGCTTTGGGGAGGAGGCAGCTTGGGACGCATAGTTCCTTAGTTTTTAAAAAGCAAAGGTGGTGATATGGGGAAAAAGAATGAAGACTACGTAATTAAAAACAAAAATCTCAGTGAGTGTATTTGAGGGCCTGTGCAGAAGCGCCATTGTCTGCCCACAAGCTCTAACCTAGTCTGTTTTGATATTTAGAGAAAGAAGTGGCCGAGCCCGAGGTGAGGATGGTGAATGGCAAACCAAAGAAAGTTCGTAAACCCAGGACTATTTATTCCAGCTTTCAGCTGGCCGCGCTACAGAGAAGGTTTCAGAAGACTCAGTACCTCGCCCTGCCAGAACGCGCCGAGCTGGCCGCCTCTCTGGGACTGACGCAAACACAGGTAAATCCGGCCGCTGCCGGGTACCCGCCCCGCCTCGCCTGCAAGCTTGGCTGGGCTGTACGGTTCGGTCCCGACTAGCTGGAGCCGATTCCATAGTATTCTCGAGAAACTCATAGACAGAAAGACACCAGCCCCTGTGCCCTTCCTTCCATGAGTCAGGCCGGCTGTTTCTGACACCTGACCGCGGGCACCAGATTTGTCGTTTGTTGGGAGATGTCTTCTTGCTTTAAGGCCACCAGGGGCTGGGGACCAGCATCCTAGGGTGGAAACACAGGGAGGGGTATTTCTGGGAGGGTCTCTCTAGCACCCTTGAAAAATATCTGGTTCTCTTCACAATAAGAACCTTCCCAGGGAATGGTGACCTGGCGGTGTTCTCCGGCCTCACAAAGGTTTCCAACGTCGCTTTGGGTTAGGGGAACTTGAAAGGTCTGTTCCTGCGGCTACTTGAGCTCCCAGCAGACTGAGGGTCGCAAAGTGGGGGGGCGCTGTTGTACGGGGAAACCTTCCCGAACTGGCCCCTTCTCTACCCACCCACTCCAACCTGCTGGGGCCTAGGCTGCAGAAAGAATGCTCAAGTCGCAGCCCAAAGCTGCTGACCGAGCCTGGCCTCCTGCATCTGAGCACCAAGAAGGGAATGGGCTGGAGACTGGGGAATCTCTCCTTTTCCTTAGCACCGTCGCCCCTTTCCTCTAGCTCTCTGACCATTGTGTGGGAGAGAGTCACCTCCTGGGGTCGCCTTGAGTGCACTGGGCACAGGCCTACACGTGCATTCCGGCCCCTATGGGCCTCCGGCAAGGTCCCGCAGCGCCAGTCCCTCCCATCAGTCCTGATAAAAACAAAGCCTTGGGGTCGCACTCTTGCTGGGGCCCGATGCCTGCTGAGCTGGACTGGGCGCCCTCTGGGGCCTCTCCTTTGCTTAGACGCGGGTCCTAGCCTCCAGGCTGTAGGAGGCCAGCCGCTGGGAGACGCCAGGGCCGGGCAGGCTAGAAGCCCTAAGAACCTCCAATCGCTTCCTGGTGAAAGGCCAGGGCAACCTCTGAGTGTCCCGGTAACCTGTGCCTTTGTTCCCCTACCCAGGTGAAAATCTGGTTTCAGAACAAAAGATCCAAGATCAAGAAGATCATGAAAAACGGGGAGATGCCTCCAGAGCACAGTCCCAGCTCCAGCGACCCTATGGCGTGTAACTCACCGCAGTCTCCAGCGGTGTGGGAGCCCCAGGGCTCGTCCCGCTCTCTCAGCCACCACCCTCACGCCCACCCTCCGACCTCCAACCAGTCCCCCGCTTCCAGTTACCTGGAGAACTCAGCTTCCTGGTACCAGAGCGCAGCCAGCTCCATCAATTCCCACCTGCCGCCGCCAGGCTCCTTGCAGCACCCACTGGCGTTGGCCTCCGGGACGCTCTATTAGAAGGGCTGCTCTCTTGCTATTTTTGGGACTACTGTGTTTTGCTGTTTTAGAAAATCAGAAAGAAATGAATTCATACGGGGAAGTTGGAAAACGGAAACAAAAAGATTCATGTGTAAAGCTTTTTTTTTTTTTTGCATGTAAGTTATTGCATTTCAAAGGACCCCCCACCCCCTTTTTTACGAACTGAAACTTTTTCTTTTTTGTGCAACTGTGGACACTATCAATGGTGCCTTGAAATCTATGACCTCAACTTTTCAAAAGACTTTTTTCAATGTTATTTTAACCATGTAAATAAGTGTAGATAGAGGAATTAAACTGTATATTCTGGATAAATAAAATTATTTCGACCATGAAAGTGGAATGCTTCTGCAAACTGCTCCTTTGGTCCCTTAATAACTGTCCAGCAAGGTCATATGCAGGAGTTAAGGGAAGACAAGCTCTACAGAGATCCAGCAATGTAAAAAAGAAAACAGAAGTCATAAGCTTCATGTTTGTAGAAATGTACATATGTGTATGTTGAATGCTGTATTTTATATATTTGTCTACATATATAGACCATGTATAACACTGTTATATTTAGGTATTTTTTGTCCTAATTACAAAACCATTTAGATAATGTTAAGTATAACTCCAATTGTTTCAGATAGAAACTAATATTGGAACCTAAATACATTTCTCCTACTTTGCACAAAAGAAGGCAACTGAAATCCTTCAATAACCCCTCTGAATTCTAAGCTCAAAGTAATTATGGTAGGAAACTACCCTCCCCATCAGCACGTGTATTGATAGAGCAATTAGACAAATTATACCACCTTCAAAAGGAGCTTCCAAAGATGAGAAAGGAAAAAGAAATCTACTCTCATTCCTATCATATATTTTTTTTTCTAAAAAATGTTTGGAGCATGGCAAGTGGTAGAGTCTTGGAGTCTTTATGTATGATTATAAATATGACCAGGTTCTTTCAGTCAGGAACACATCACTGGAAATGAGACAATGATGGACCTAAAACAGTAAGCCAAACAAGGAATATGGAGGTAGGGGGCATTCCCCTTTCTTTAAAAAAAAAAAAAAAAAAAGGAAGAGGGAGCTTGGGGGGGGGGGAGTGAAGCCATTGTGACCCTTTATTGATTTTGTTTCATGTTCCTAATGTAATTTTTCTTTCTCCATCCTCTGTATTACCATTCTATGGCTCTTTCAGAAGGCTCCCTTTGCTTTGCTTTTACATAAAACAGTGACAAGGCTGGTTCTAAATGGCAGGAAATGCAATCTTTGCTGGGCTTTCTTTGTGAACCTATCTTTGGGGTTGGCATGGAGGACTTATATATGACCTGGCCTATGACCTGTCTTTCGCCTCACTCCTCTGCATGTAGATATCAAGATTGTGCCCAGAGCTATAGCCAAGGCCGAGAACTGTGCCCCCAGGCCTGAAATGTAGGAGTCTTTCTGGTTGACTACCCTTTAATACACCTGAATCTATTTTCTTAGGATACCAAGGGAATGTACAATGTTGGAAATTACAAGATGCATGTGAAATATTTTACAGCTAGGAAATCAGCAGCAATAAATGTGATAAAAGAGCCTTTTGGGGAGGGGGTTAGAACATAAAAATTACATCCTGTCGTTTGAGGATTTCTGAGAAGACTCTTCCAGGGTTAGGAGACTAGACCTGAAAAGGCATGCTGTGTGCCTCTGGGCAATTTACAGAGTCTCTCTCTCTCTCTTTCTCTCTCTCTCTCTCCCTCTCTCTCTCTCCCTCTCCCTCTCCCTCTCTCTCTCCCCCCTCCTTTTCTTCTTCCTTCTACCTCCTCTCTTTCTTCTTTCCTTTTCCTTTTCTTTACAGAAGTGACACCAAGCCCACCAGATTGAAACTCCTTGGGGGTGGCACCCTGCCTGACCCAGGGGCAGTCTGGGCTGTTGAACCTTTGCCTACTCCAGAGGGAAGAAGAGTCAAGGGGGTAGGCGCACCTGGAGAGGGGGTGGTGATGTTGTGGGAGGCCCTTGACCCATTTTGTTTTCTGCACTGGCAGAGAATAGAATGAGGAAAGAGATGAAAATACCTGTTTCCTGAGCTTTCAGAAAGCCTGAGCTTTCTGAAGACCCTGGGACTTGAGAAGTCTCATGGTTGTACTCAGGCTTTCCGCTGGGGTACGCCTGTCCCCACCCTAGGGTGCTTGTTTGGGAAGGTTGACTGGAGCGAACCCACCGCACAACCTTTAACATTTCCCACCAATGTGCTTAGAAAACATGTTCTTTCCAGTTCTGATCCTTGTAAAGGCCGAAGTCATCTCCCTGGCCCCATTCCTGGTGGAAGGTGGGGGGATCCCTTCTCTCACCACCTGGGACCCCCAGACACAGCCTAGCCAACGAAAGGATGGGTCCAGACTTCTGGGGAAACAAGAGGGGTGCTCTTTAATAACTATCCTTCACTGCCAGCTTGGGCGCTGCTAGGGTTACCCAAGCGGGTTTGCAGAGCTGCCAGGCCCAGCACGGAGTCCCCAAAGCTTGGTTTCGGGATTCCTTCCCTTTTGCTAACCTCCCAGTGGTCTCTCCCCTCGTGCGTTTTTCTTTCTTTCTTTCTTTCTTTCTTTCTTTCTTTCTTTCTTTCTTTCTTTCTTTCTTTCTTTCTTTCTTTCTTTCTTTTTTTTTTAATTTGGTCCGGGAACCGAGAACAAAAATATTCTGGCAAGTGAGTCGCAACGGGCTTTCCCTGGCACCACGGGATTCTCCCCAGGGAATTTAACTCCCCGCAGTCCCCCGCCCAAGGATGTAAAAATAACAGATCCTCAGCAAAGTCTAAAAATATTTTTCTTGTGAGCGCGCGCGCTCCCTCCCACCTTCCCCTTTCCCCTCCATTGTTTCTTCCCATATCTAATATATGCTTACCACTCCTCAGAATTTTCTGGCTCTGGAGGACCCTGGACTTTGCATTGGGAGTCACGTGTGCCTGCCCCTTCCAGACCTCACCTGTCTAGCTCTGTCTAATACCCCAAGATGATTGAAGCCAAGAGATGGATTTTCTTTTCAGTGGGCATTCACCCCCACCCCACACTCCCAACTTGCATCTTTAGACCTCCCTGCAAAGCCCAGGAGGCCTAGGGTATGTTGGCAGGGCTTGAGCGATTTCCTCGGTGCCCTGCCAGCCTCCTGGGCCCTCCGGTAGAAAGATCAGATAAATTGGCCTTTGTTTGAGGCTCGGGTTGGGCTAGGCGAATTTCTACCCTTTTGCTCCCCCTTTTTCCTGGCGGCCACCTCCTTGTGGGACAAGAGGCGGCCTGGGGATCCGAAAGAAACCGCATTCCTGTGGGTGCCAGGCGGCTCCAGTGCTGAGCCACAGGGCCTGAGACACCCACACTGAAGAATCCGCAGACCTCGCTGCCCTTGATCCCACTCTCTTGCTCCAGCTCTTTCCCTCCAGTAGGGGCACCTACCCGGGAGCCAGTCCACCCACACTCGGATCCACCCAAGACTCAGCCCGGAGCAGCGGCGTGTTGACCTACACAAAGATGCACTCGCACCCACTCCTGGTGGCACCGACCTGACCAGCATCTCTCGGCCGAAGCCAATCCTCAATCTCCCGTCCCTTATCCAACAACTCCAGACACTCTGGCTAGCCTCTTCTGCAGTCTTTGATCTCACCGTACACCCTACTGCTCCCAGCGTCCCGGCAGTGCAGTCCTGGGAGTCACCTACGGTGTGCCAAGGCCAGGCAGCTCCCTACCGCTTGTCCTAGAACTCACTACTGCTCTTCACTGTTTAGTCTCTCCAGCTCCCTAGGCCGAAGTGCAAAGAATGCCACCTGGAAATCTTGCCCTGCACTCCTCCTCTACTCCTCACATCCATGTGTTCAGGAAGAGGGACCTCAAGGACTCCTCAGTCACCCCCTTCCCGCCTTCATCTCCACAACCTCTCGGACCGCGCGCCTCCCACTGGCCACGGGGGATCCCGCTAACCTGGAGACACACCCTGAAGGCAGTAGCCCTGGCACACCTCTGGGAAGCACGCCACCCAGGTGGAGCAGCCTGCGGTCACCCCTCTTCTCCACCCTTAAGTACCCCACACCCAGGCAAGTGGGTGTGGACTCCCAACTTGCAGCGCTTGGGGAGGGGGCTTTGCGGATGGCTCTTGTCCTCTCGCTCCCCTCCCTTCTCTGGTTCCCAGGTTGCACGGAGATCTTGCATATTTTAAACGCTGTCCCAGTCACAGAGAAATTTGGGCCTCGAAAATAACCCAAATAGCGGTTGGTACACGTGGAATTGGTTAAATTATTTTTTTACAAAGCGCGCGCGCGCACACACACACACACACACACTCACACACCATCCCTGGTGTCTTTTGCCTGGAACGGGCTTTAGATTCCTTAGCGGTGCAATGCAGAAAGTATACATTGTATCTACTGTGAGCAAGGGGAGCCGGGAGCTGTTGAGGGGTGGAAGAACCTTCCCTTTCAATCATCCAGAGCTGCCCCTCTGTAATGTAATAACCTGTTTTATAGGTCGGGTTCTAACCATGAAGATAGGAACTGAGAGAATTTACACAATCTTTCTTTATAGGAGATGAGAGTCTCCTTTTATAGCAATTAAATATTTCTGCCCTTTTGTTCGCTTGGACTTATTTACTTCTGATTTATGGGGTTCCGAAAGAGTCTCCTTGCCAAAAGCACATGTATTATTGAGTCTGTTCCACATCCTAAACCAAGATTTATATAAAGCCGTGAAATGCCATGCATTACAACCTTTCACCACAGGAAGGAAAAAATGGCTTCATAACCTCACTCTACTCTCTCTCTCTCTCTCTCTCTCTCTCTCTCTCTCTCTCTCTCTCCTGGTTTCAGTAACAATACTCTGTGGAATCCACCATACACAGTCTGCTGTATTTTTTTTTTTTAAAGAAGTGGGTGGGGGTGAAGGATGGTAAACACTTCCTAAGCTATGATTTATTTTAAAGTATTTTTTTTTCTTGAGAGGCGTGAAGACAGAAACTGCCACTGGAAGCTTATTGGCAGACCAGGGCTATTTCTGCCACTTGCCATTTGCAAGGTGGGGGAGAAAGGGGGGCCAGGAAGAAGCAGGATATGGACTCAACTTTCATCTATAAACAGGGTCACTAAACAGGGGACATTTCATTATTGCCCTTAAATTCACAGGAGCTAGGGAGCCTGCTTGCCACCCTGCAGGGTGGCTCAGGCTGGGCAGCTCCTGGGTCTGTATGTTGGGAGGAGGGAGAATCAATACACATTGGCCTAAAGACTGGAAAAGATGCCCAGGAAATTCTCTGTGATCAACATGGGAAAACCTGAACTCCAGATATAACATCTTTAGGTGTATCTGACTGGGAGGTCCAACCCCCAAATTAGAC